CAAATAATTATCCCATTAGCCAATGCAAAGGGAATACTACAAAGGAAATTAAAAGTGCTACTCCAGTGACCATACAACTATTAATGACCTAGACAGAAAATCATACCAGCTGAATTGAATCTTCCATTCTTTGAATGCTCAGGGAGGTGATATGGCTACAGAAGAAAAGTTTAAGGCAAGAAACTAAACTAGCAAATAGTGTTATCAAGGCTACAGCATATTACCCAGCAGTTCTAGCTTAGGGTCATTGCAGAAAGTGGTTACATATAAAAAACCAGCCATCCAATGTAGATGAAAAGGCTTCTGATTGGAAGAAAATGTCCTGGAGGATTTTCATAGCTACAGAGTAGAAGTCAGACTTGGTTTCAGGACACAGGCTGACTCACCAGGGACTAACGCAGCTGGTGACTTTTGCTATTTTTCTATTATGAACATCCTAAGACCCTTAAGGATACTAATTCTACTCTGTTTGTGCTCCATAAATGGAACAAGAACGCCTGGCTGACAGCACATCTGTTTTCAACATGGTTTACTGGATATGCTAAGCCCACTGTTGAGACTGCTCAGAAGGAGAGGGGGGGAAGATTCCACTCAAAATGCCATTGCTCATTGACAAGACATCTGGTGGGCCAGGGGCTCTATTTGAGTTGGACAATGAGATTACAGTTTTCCTGCAGAAATAACAGCTATGCTGCAGCCTGTGGATCACGGAACAGGTTTGACTTTTAAGTCTTGCTTAATAAACTCATTTTATAATGCTACGCCTGACACACATACTGATTTCCTTTGGTGAATATGGGCAAGGTAGAGTGAAAAACATTCTAGAAAAGACTCGCCATTCTGGATTTATTGAAAAAGCATTTGTGATTCATGGGAGGAGCTCACAAATCTCAACACTACCAAGAGTTTGGAGGATGTTGATTTCTACCCCTATGTTTGACTTTGAGAGGTTCCAGTCTTTGTGGGCAGTAGTGGGAAATGTAGTGCAGACAGAAAAAAGAATTAGAATTAGAGTCACGTCTAAAGATGGGATTCAATTTTTATAATCTCAAGCAACAGATGAGTTGCTTTCTTGTGGATAAGCAAAGAAAGTGGTTTTGTAATCAACTGGTACAGATGTTTGATCGTTATTGAAATAGCATCAAAGCTCCTGCCCAGGAGTCGTACCACCTACAGTGAGTGGCCTGAGCCCTTCCACATCACCCTTCGTCAAGAAACTGCCCCACAAATAAGCCCAATCTAATGAAGGCAGTTCTTCAACTGAGGTTCCTCTTCCAAGGTGACTCTAGTTCTTGTCAAGTTAACAAAAATGGACCAGCATAGCTATGCATGAGCCTGGCACAATTGTAGATGACAGTGTCAGATTGCAGCATCCAAAGCTTAGACACCCCTGGTCGTATAGCCTTGATAAGAAGTTTGGAAGATAGAAGTGATGTGAAGCAAATCTTCTCATTGGTGGAATTCTGATTCTTTTAAATTGCCTTTATTGTTTTTTAAATAACTGGCTTTATTCCTGATTTGGAAAATAATTATATTTAACTTCCTGCCTACTTTTATTTATTTTTCTTTTTTTTTCATATTTTGTTTTAATTTTTCCTGCCTACTTTTAAAAAGTGTCTTGTAAACAAGAGCCAGAAGCAAGGTGGGGGTACATATTATCTTCTGATGCTAGCTGTCAGCCCTTCCACTTACCCAAGAAACCTGTCTACCCTATCCCTACTGTAATGCCACAATTTAAATTGTGATGGGAGAAACTAAACTTATAAAAACACTGAAATGACATTCTTGTGACTTTGCCTAAGATTAAGTACATTCCATACGTAGATCCAAGAACAATACTTAAAGTTGTAGGCTAAGGAAGATTTTCACAAGGCTCATTATTATCAATATATTATGCCCTGTGTTTTGAACTTAGTACCAGCATATAGATATTCCAGCTTTGACCGTCTAGACTAATTCAGTAACTCACTTCCACAGGCTCCTTTTGTGGGCACCATCTGTGCTCTGAAAATCTCCTGCTACCACTTACCAAAAAATTGCCCACAGTGTGCCCTACCTATTTTGTCAGGGTTACCCACCTTTCTTCCCTAACTGAAGTGAAAGTTGTGTGGAGATGCAGCTCTACTTTCCAGTAGATCCTGAGCACCCAGTATGGGCTCTGGCCCATGGAACCTACGAACAAACTCAACCTAGTTCATGATGCCGATAGCTACTTCAGGCTGGTGTCACTGGTTGCCAAGGAAGCTATACTACCCAGCTTTCGTCTCTCTGAAATGTGGAAGATTCCATAATAAGAAAGGCCACCTACCATGGAGCAGAGCTTTCCTATCTCCTTGTCATTTTCCATTCACCTACCCACACCAGGACTCCAGTTCTTACACTTGGCCCAAAATTGCTTCATTTGTTAATAATAGTAGAATTTTAGTGTCTGAGTCCATGAATCCCATCTTCACATGTTTTCTTCCTAAGCAATGTATTTGAATTTGGCTGAAATGGAGCATTTGGTAACTTAAAAATGTATCAATGGCACTGCCAGAATGTCACTCTTGGTGGTAGTAAATATGTTAGGCTGGTCGAGAATCTCCATCACAGTGTGTCCTTTTCTGTCTGTACAAAGCCCCGTAGCATAAGAAGCATGAAAGCCTTTAGTTCTTATCACTTTCTTTAAAACCCTGTCTTTCAAACTCTCAGAAACTCTGCAGAGTTCATTGCCTCTCAATAGAACCTGTTTTGCATTTTCACAAGTTGTTTCTTTTCAAATCACCATTTTGGAGTATCGCAGAAGGTCTTACCTGCTGGTTTATTCAGTTTGGATATACTATTTCTTGCCACTAAACTCAAATGTAATGACAACTTGGCCATAGCTGACTTGCTACATCATGGACATGGCCAACTGGAAACTATCCGGTGACAGAACAGCATAGGAATTTTTCCTTCTACTTGGCCATGCACGTGGTTTAAAATCATTTAGCATGAAAAAAAAATCATTAGTTTGTTTCACATTTGAGGGAAACTTAGAGCCTGAGAGATTCAGGTTACTTCTCAGCATCTGATTCGTAGAGAATCAGAGTAATGCACTCAAATGTCTATCAGGACTCTCTGGGAAAGTCGTATAGCAAAGGAGGGCCACAGTGCTACTTAGCTCTCCTAAAATGATGCACTCGTCAAAGCCAGACCATTCAATATTGTTGCAGTTTTATAACTTGAAATATATATAGTGATGACATACCATGTATCCCAAAATATTTAGCATATATATATATAGTCTAAATATTCAGTTGTTTGCTTAGGGGATCCAGTATCTCTCCTTTTAAGTATCTTGTGACCAATATATACACTGATGTATATAAACTCAATTCCACATTTAGACCTACAGCAGAAAGCAACAGTGAAGTCACTATTCTCAAGGAGCTTACATTATAGTGTGTTGTTATAGGCAGATGTAGTACTAAAGGAATAGTCTCGTCTGTTGGGTAGATGGAGGCAATGGGTGAGGAAGTGAAGCAACAAGGAAGATACTATGAGAGAGGACTTGGGGATGAGAGGTGGCAATGGATGTTGGTGAGACCACTCAGAGACGGTGGCATTTGAACTAAGACCTGAATGCAGTGAGGGAAACAGCTATATAGAGTCTGGGCATGATGTTCCGGGGAAGAGGAAGAAACCACAGGGGCATAGAGTCTCAGAGGCACACAACCATTGTGCTCAAACCTCGTCTGCACACAGAAATGAACATGGGAAAGAAAGGGTGGTGTCTCCAAGGAGCCAGGGCCTCCTAGTGCATTACGAACACTTTGTAAATTCTGTCAAGGGTGATATCAGGGAATGGGGGTAACTTGAACTGCCATTTCTAAATGTGTGACAAAGAAAATGAGAACAGAGTGTTAATAAATGCTGTCATGGAGGGAGCATGTGTTGTATACTAAGCCCTGTACCTGCATTCACTCATTTAACCTTGACAGTAATTACTGTGGCTGCTCTTGGAGGACAGATGAGGCAATGATTAAGCATTTGGGCATGAGTAACTTTTCCATAGTCACACAAAAGTGGCAGACCCAATTTTTTTTTTTTTTTTTTTTTTTTGGTTGTTGTTGTTGTTGTTTTTTGAGACAGGGTTTCTCTGTAGCTTTGGAGGCTATCTTGGAACTAGCTCTTTAAGACCAGGCAGGTCTCAGACCCAAGTTTTATACAATGCTAATATTGTAAATCCTTTAATACCCTGCATGGAGTATCTCAATAGAGATCATTACCATTGACACTTTGTTCATTCATTTAAAGTCATCTTAGGTCTACCATGTATTATGCTATGGCCTACTTATTTTTTTTCTGGGTATTTTAAAAGATTGAGGGTCATTTTCATACCTGATGATATCATCTCCAAAGTAGAAATTTTTGTAAAATACCCAAAATGAAATCTCTTTATTAGATAATCCCAAAGCACAGACTCTTTGTCTGTTGATTCAGAATTGTATCTCTGTGTCATTAATTTCCATAATGATCTAACATGTACAAAATGTTGATCTGAGTCAAACATCCATAGAGTTTCCCGGACTGACAATGAACTTGTGAATAGGAGGAATACTGTGCAAGGATTCTCATGCTTGCTCTTGAATTCCAGCAGAGTTGCTGCAGACACAACTGTATTATGTTTGGGGGTGAGAGAGAACACAATAGGCATATGGTAAAGATCATGGGGAGGCCAGCTATAGCTCGAGCAACCACATCTATCAGAACTTTTCCAATTTATGTATGTTTCCAGGTATAATTATTATCATTCCCTTTCACTCCCAAGGGTGTTCCAGACAAAACAGAGTTATTTGACTGTGGCTAGCTACAGCCATGCTCAAGAAGGCAATGTCTTTGAATATGATCTCCAGGCATGTGACTCGAATGCACTCTTGAATTCCTGTAATAATGGATGGGTGTGATCAAAGCTATATGATTACACGAGGGATATTATGTAAGAAAATAGCTTAATCATAATCATTTCTCTCCCACAGCTAAAAAGGAACATAAAATGGAAGAAAGTCACTTGGAGAATGCACAGAAAAGGTAAGTAGCTCTGATTTGGGCTCAGTTCTTTCTGACTAGACATCCTCTATTTTTATTATCATAAAGAATATGCCCATTGCTTGCAGCCATCTTCTCTAGAACCCTACCTGAATGAAACTCTGGAACCGTGAAGCACTACCTCCTCATCTCATCCCTTCCCCCACAAGGCCTGCCTGGGTGGCATTGCTCTACTTCCTGCCTCTCTGTAGAGTCTTGTGCCGTTTGACTGCTTATGACGAACTTATCTCACTTGCCTTGTGTTCCAGCAGCCAGCCCCTTGGCCTTGCCTGTTGAGACATCCATGAACAGTAAGCTAGAAATGACACCCCTCCCATCATATATGTCACGATCCTGTTCTGTCCACGTGCCTCTCCTTCTTGCTCTGTTCCTGAATCACCTCATGGAAGTCGGGAAGAGAGCTGACTGTCTTTCACCATCATAACTAGGTTGGACCACTTCCATAAATAACTAGGAGAGTGACTTCAGTTTCTTTGCTCAGATAGTGGAGGGTTTTATAGACAAGGGGCAGGTGGAAAGAGGGATTCCCTTCTGTGTACAAAAACTGTCACAAATCAGAAGAGATCCTAGGGTTCTTTCTTTGAGCCTAGCCCCTATTCCTGACTCCTACTTCTTTCAGTAGACATCAGAAGGTAGCTGTCACCTGGCAGAACCCAGGACCGCTCTATTCCAATCCCTGGGGGAAGGTTCTTTTTGTTAGTTCACCATAGTTGTCCTCCAGTTGCACCTTGCTTGTAGAAGGGATATATTGAGTCTTTCGGGAAAGAGGACTGAGATACATTTGACTGTTAAATATTCTGAAAGTTCCTGATAAGCAAATGAGGGAATAAGGGTAGGAAGTAGCATCTTAGGAAAAAAAAAAATAAGCTTTACCAAATAGATAAAAGAATTTCCTAGTTATGAATTAAGAACACATAAACTAGGAATGAGTGCTTTCCCTTCACTCTAGCCACAATTCTGAAAAACCCAGAGACAGGTGCCAACATTTATTCCTGCTTCCTGCTATAATCTGCCAACAAAATTAAGATGCCGATGAAAGCAAAATGAAGGCCAGTCTTGTAGTTTTCTAAGTGTAGACATGTTCTTGAATCATGAGCATCATCCTATCATGATAATTGTTGAAAACTGAGACAATTACACGGTTGTGTTTTTAGATTTTGGCTCCCCTGTATTGGACTTATCCCTACATTACGCTTTCTTTCCTTGGTGTGCAAAATTAGTGTCGGAGACGTTCAGCACTCAGAGAAGAGACTATCAACCAGGGCAGGCTGGTATCAGGCCAAGCAGCAATTCAGCTTCCGGGGTGCTCGTCAAGTTTCTAATCCCTTTTCAAGGCTTTGCTGAAGGGCAAGGGGCCCACCTTAGAGAGGCCTGGGCTGCTGCTGTGCATTAGGCATGCTAAGAGGAGTCATAACTTCTGGTTGTCAGCATTTTCCGTGACTTTGTGGTGAAGGTAGTCTAGCTTTCATGTCATACTTGAAATATGTTAGATCTCATCTTCAATGTAGAAACCACGGTTGTTTGCTTGCACTCTTTAAGGAGGCTGTGGTCAGTGTCGCAATATTCGTGTGAGACTTAGTAAATTCTTATGTTTTATTCTCAAGAGAAACAATTTACTCTGAGGCCAAGGGATATTTGCTTTTCCTAAGCAGTTTCTGAAAGCACGCATGAGAAAACAGTAAGGGGATGTGTTCCGCTCTGGTTCTACAGTAAATGTAGAGCAGTTTGGAGCAGTTTGCTTAGCTCTGGGCTCTTTGATAGAATCATTGTCTGTCCTTACCCCAAAAAAAAAAAAAAAAAAAAAAAAAAAAAGTTTGGATAAATTAAAGATACCAGACAAGGAAATGTAAAGAGAATCAGGGACTAGTTGAAAGTGAGGTTAAATACCTTGGTATAAAACAAAACATGATTAGAAATTATCTTTTTATTTTAAGTAGAATGCTATTTGGGAGTTATGTGCTGAGAACTGGACATTTCAAAAAGCACAGAATCCTCTGTCTGCTGCTCTGTCTGCTGTCCATTGGAGACAATTGACCTGTCAATTAAATGTCAATGATTTTTCTTGTCCAAATTTCAAGTTTTTGGTGCAGTATTTTGTGAATCAAAACTGAATTTTTGTGACGGACATTTTGACTGGTTAGGGCAGTAGCCTGGACATTACAGACAGTGGTGAATTCTGAGATTTTTCTGAAATAGAAGGGGAACTTTGCAGTCAAATGAGTCCCTCCTCAGAACGGCTGGGTCTGTCAGCGTTGCAGTGCTGTCATCAAAGCATGTCCTGGACTCTCCTTGGTTCTTCTGAACAGAGTCCTATGCTGCCTGTGTTCCCAAAACACGTAGGGAAAACATGCAGAAATGCAGTGTGTCTTTTAATTTTCAACCCCTCTGACAGAGGCAAGCAGGGCTTCCCAAACAACCCCACCACCAACACCATGCACACACTCTCTCTCTCTCTCTCTCTCTCTCTCTCTCTCTCTCACACACACACACACACACACACACACACACACACACACACACACGGAGAGAGGTTGTGAGGACAGAATTGGTGAAAAAGAAAGCCCTAGGCCACTGACATGCTTGTGATAAACGTCAGACGCACTGTCACTTCTGACTCTGCACCAATGTCTAGCGTGTCCAGATGTGAACTCCAGATAATGTGGAGGTATTGGAGTGACGGAGGAATCACGGCAGCCAGTCCTGTGTGCTCATCACTACATCCTTCCATGGAACAGGAAGCGACTGTGTTACTCTGGCTACAAAGTGAAATATTTTCTCTCCTGTGTTTGTGTCCATACAGATCTGTGTCTGTATAGAAAGTGAACATAAGGAAACAGGAAACATGATGGTGTGCCCTCCTGGGGTGATCCATGTGTGACACATGAGTCTGAAGGAGAAATGGGAAGTGATGGTCTTGTTGGGTAGTTGCCTGTGTCAGTAACCGTGAGCAACTGAAAGGGGAGAACAGGACATGTACCTCACAGGGAGTTGGGAGCCTGAATAGAGACCCAGCTCTGCCAGTGGATGAGGTCATTCTGTCTTCCCATGCCTCCATTGTCTGTTCTGAAGAATGAGACTACTGGAAATGTTAGCCTGCCCAGTCTCTCTAGTCCATAGCTTGCCTCTACTGGTTATATAATTCTCTGCATATCCTCACATTACAATGTAAATTCCATGCTGAATGAAATAATGGTATATGAGGTAGAGCACTCTCTTGGTTTTATCAGTATTTTGACAGCTGTAGGTATGGGTGTTATGTCTGGGGTAAGAGTAGACTTTGCTACTTTCTTTGATTACTGGTTTTGCTCCAAAATATGTGTGTTTGGAATTATCAAAAAGTCTCTTTAGAGATTACTGCCATCATTGCCTTCCTCCACTTACATACTTCTAGTCTTTTAATAACTAGGGGCCAAATTCCCCGGCCAGTAGTTTTAATTTGCATTAAAAACAGATTTGTTATTTACAGAAGCACAGAGAATTTATGAGATTTAGAGCAGCAGCTCCAGCTTGGATCTCACCTAATCGTAGCCATGGAATCAATTAACAGTTCATCTGTGAAATGTGATAAAATCTTATGAGATACATATTGCCCAATAACTGAGAAGGAGATGAAAGTATACTCCATACTAGTCACAGGGCTTCAGGGTTTTACAATTGCCACTGAATAGAGTCCCATTAGAAACTCAGTATTCAGGATGGCCACAAAAAAACACTATGCCTGAGCAGATGATAGAGCATTGAGTAATAAACCTGGCTGGCCCGTTCCTGCTTTGATTAGTTTCCAACACCCTTGAAAGGGGGCTGTTTAAGAGTTCTTGCTCTTGGCAAATGAGCCTGTGAAGCCTGGGGTGGGTGAGGGCAAGGGGGGAAAGACTGAGTTCAGAGCTGTAAATTGCTGCAAGCTAGTGCCTCCATGAAGGACTGCTTGGGAGGCCCAGTCAGGCTAGTGGGCAGTGTGCCTTCACAGGGCAGGTCACAGCATTATCTAAGAGCCTAACCTTAGAAAAACCTGAACTCCTTCCTACCCTGACTGGAGATTGTCTCCTCTTCTAGCCCTTGCTAGGCTCACAAGTATGTCTGGTTTCGTAGGTTGGTGGTTTATATACTTGTATCATGGTCAGGTGTTAAGATGGAGCACTTTTAAAGGCCACATAGTATAACTTTTTTATTCTACACTTGAGAAAATGAAAGTGAAATGCCAAGTGATGGAGTCAAGAACCAGAGCATGCCAGAGTATAGAGGGGACAGAAGCTTCCCAGTTTTCCATGTTCCCAATTGACCGTCTACCTGACTATTATTGGAGCAGGCAATATGTCACAGTGTGACATGTAGTCTTTACAGAATGAAGATCAGAAAATTACATTAACTTAAGATGGGGAACAAACTTAAGCTTAAAGTTATGTAACCCTGAATTGTGCTGTTCTTCAGTTCACACAGATAAGATGTACATAGTAGTTTTCCCAATCATAGTGATTATTTGCAGATCTACACAGACTTCCTGAGGTTTGGGGTGCTCTTCAGTAACTATGAGTTCTGACACCTGTATTATGGAATGGTCATGAGGGAAGCTTCCAACAGTATCCCTTTTCTACTGGGTTTTGGTGTTGACAGTTACTTATCCTATCCATGTTTCCCCCTACCTCCTACAGTTTTGAAACAACAGTGGGATATTTTGGAATGAAGCCAAAGACTGGAGAGAAGGAGATCACCCCCAGCTATGTGTTTATGGTGTGGTTTGAGTTCTGCAGTGACTTCAAGACAATCTGGAAACGGGAGAGTAAGAACATATCTAAAGAAAGGTAAGGTTGGATGAGGCATGCATGCCTCCTGAGCAGTCCATCTTTTCAAGCCTTCTAAAACATGCCTGTTCGTGTGTCAGTGCTTCCTTTTGCATCAAGTCCACATCCAAGAAGGGTGCTTGCCTTCAGAAATTCAGGGAAAGCTTGCTACCCCCATGGCAAGATACACTCACATGATCTGATAAGCTCCTTTCTCTTAACCCCTTCCAATTACTAGCTAGTAAATGAAAGGCGAGTTGTGCTAATTTGCAACAGATTGCTTCTCTGTGTATTTTCATGTTGGCCCAAGCTAAATGAGGCAGCTTTGCTGTGGCAGACAGTACAGACAAATAAAAGTGAATGCTTTTCCCATTAATATACTGCATTTGCATCAAAGGGAAATCTCCCCAGCTCAGGCCACACTTCACACAGTGTTGAAGCCCCACACTGGATTTACAGCATCACTTCTGACTCCCTGTATCCTGCTGAGGACATCAAACTGCATGCCGCTCGGCCTCCTTGCAGTCTCTTGATTTTATTACTTGGGAGTAAAAAAAAAAAAAAAAAAAATCAGCTCTGAACACAGGCTGTGTGTGTGAGAGAGAGAGAGACTCTAGCGCTGTTTATCAGAAAGCATTTCTGTTTGAGTGTGGCATCTAGCCTACTGTGGTTCCATGAAGGCTGTCTCTAACTCACGAGGAACAGGTATGAGGCTGTTATTCAAGATGGCAGGGAAAGAAGCAGAAGGTTCTCTAGAGTGAGAGAGACTCCACAATTAGTGTATTTGTTCTCTAATTTGCAAAAAAAAAGTCACATCTGAGAGTATTTATTATATGAAGACAATGTACATTAATATGTGTTTTGCCTTACGCTGCTCTTTGTAAGTTGAAGATTTAGAGAATTTGACTCAAGGTATTTTCTCAAGGATTTTTTTTAAAGAGACACCCCATTTTTTTCCCCCTCAGGGAAGTCAAAACTCCTTTTTTTTTTTTTTTTTTAAATCTGAGGCCAGTTGTGAATGACCACACCTATTATTCTAGCATATAGGAGTCTAGAGAAGAAAATGGCCTTGGATATAAAGTGTGTTCCAGGCAAACCTGGGGTACAACATGAGACCATGCCTTAAAACAAGGAAATATTTATCTGCACATCTTCCCAGCATTACCCCTTCAGGAAAGCAGGAGATAAAACTGAGTGTATTCAACCAAGGCCAGTACAATCAAACCCAGTATTCAACCAAACCCAGTACAGGAGACCAAAGCAAAAGGATAGTGAATTTGTGTAAAAGCTGAGAACTCATGATGCAGATAAAGTTGAGACAGACCTACAACATAGCAAGGAAGCATGGTTGACACATAACTGCATTTCATAGTGACACGATCATTTTCAGCGTTTCCCTGAACAGGTACTCTAACTAGATCATCGTGCCATGTATACATAGAGTACACAAAGAAGTCTTAGAAAAAAAGATGAACAACTGGATGTCAAGAATTTAAAAAATTATAGGACATGGTCAAGAAAGTAGCTTGTTGATCATATTATGAAAAAGAAATCCTGAAAAATGTACCCAAATTTGCATTCTCACCCTAGGTAATGTAACCTAAATTAGCTTCCATGGAATCAAGTCTTCTTGAGACTAGAAGAGTGAAGTTCCTCTTCTTGATCTAATGGTGACTACCGGTTCATTGCCGAGTCACTCCATCTCCACAGTCTCACCAGGTCGCACCTGGCAGGGAGTTCTGAACATGCAGACTTTGCTTGCGAATTTTTTACTCAGATTTCCAGTGTAGTTCTTAATGAATTGTCTCTGGAGCCTAAAAATGGTCCAAACACAAACAAACAAAAACACTGGGTAACTAATTGCTTTTTGTGTTAACACATCTGTAGGATTCTCGAACTGTAGCACACCCTGCCCCCACGCTCAGGAAAGTGAGACCAAACTCTCCGTGGTTCTGCTGTGGTGGTGTCCAGTCATCCTTTCGAGTAGCTTTTTCTCTCATTCCCAGCATGGGCATTGGCAGCATTGCTTCCTAGGTCCAGCTGGGGAATTGCTTGCTTCACAGTCTGTAAACCAGCACCTCCCCAGGGTCACGACTTCCCAAGAGCCTTCCCTGATCATTTAGCAGTTTCCGGGGTCTCCTCATTGCAGCCATGCTCTGAAGAGATGGATCACCAGCAAAGTGTCAGCCTAAAGCATCTCTGAACTTTAAGGATGCTCGGGAAGACTTTTGGAAACTCTCCCATTAAAGACATTTCAGCATGTCCATTCAAGCAATTAAATTGATTACCCAGGATTTTCTTATGAAGGCTTTAAAAAAAAAAAGAAAGAAAAAAACTTTTTTATAATAAAGAGTTTAGTTTTTAGGCTCTTAAATGACACATTCATTAGTGTAAAATAAGCTAATTAACTTAAGTTGGCTTGTTATAATAAAATTAGAAGTAATGTGATTGATTTGTTAACACTTGTTTAATGATATATGATACTATATTTTTGATTACAGTTTTCCCAGAAATGAGTTAAATCTCTGTAACACTAAATGCCATGGGGCAATATAACATCACTCACGAGAATTGTTCAAAGGCATAAAAAAAAAAAAAAAAAAAAAAAAAAAAACAAAATTCATAGCCAAATGAAAGCTTGATATCATGTAACTATTGGGGGGAGAATTGTGGTTTGGGAATCTCATCACAAGAAATTGAGATCACTTGATTTTTAAATGTGTCTGAAGGCCAACTGAAACCTAAGAAGTTACTGGAAAAGATTAATCAATAACAGTATTTTCAAAAAGAAAAACCCAAAGGTAAATGTCTAAACCCTGCTTCCAAATGAAAGAAATGGGACTACTTTAAGCCACTTGAGGCTAATTGTAGGGAATAGAATATTTACTTAATTTTTTCTGCTCAGTGTGGTTTTCATGAATATGCATTAGGCTAATATAACACTGCGGCCCATGTGCCTCCATAGCAAGCTAGCAACTACCCCTCATTAATCTACAGCACTCTTTAAATGTTGTATTAAAATGTTCAGTGTTGCTATGCCATTAAACTAGTAAACTGTGGTTAAGAGTAGAGAGGGATAAACCTCATTGGCTACGACACTGCCACTTCAAAAAGTGGCACATGCCTTTAATCCCAGCACTGGAGTGGAAGAGGTAGGTGGATCTCTGTGAATTTGAGGCCAGCCTGGTCTACAGAGCTACTTCCAGGACACCTAGGGCTGTTACACAGAGAAAATGTGTCTCAAAAAAAAAAAAAAAAAAAAAAAAAGGAGGATTCCCTGGGGCATGGTTTAACCTATTAACTGTGTCATTAGAAATGCAATTTACTACATGGTAGTATGGCTTTGATTTTTCTTTGACATTTAAGCCATTAAGCCAGTATTAAGCAAAAGAAACATGTTTCCATGTCTAAGCATAAATCCAGAATATTCCTTCTCTGTCATTGTATGGTCCCCAGTGGTGGCACTTATCCCCCAGTGAAGCCTACTGATTCCTTCTCCTCTTTCTTCAGACTACAGCTAATGCTTAGTTGTATAAAAAGGACCTGTAGACAGAGGTCAGATCTCATAATTGCTCCCCTTCACTTTGCCATTAATTGGCTGTGCACCATTAGGCCAAATACTTACTGCACAGGGAACCAATCAAATGTGAGTATCTGGATGGATCAGGAGCCAAGTGTTAACTCTCATCTCTTCTAGCTTGAAGTCATTATGATTCTGGAAATGACTTTCTGGTTTCCTAAGACTGATGTAATTTTAGATAATGGCCCTCACTTTGGCTCCTGAGATTATTAAGAGTGATATTGGAAATTGTTTCAGCCAAGATCTGATACAGGATTGGGAGGAGATTCGGATTGAGATGAGTTTTCATTGCCCTTTAGACTTTGTCACTGTCCCAGTTTACAAAATGCTAATGTTCATCTTGAAGGTCTCATGTTTTTAATCATGGATGTACACACTAAAGTGTCTGCTGTTCTCCTGTCTCTGCAGTGTTACATTTGGTGGAATGGTGTAGTTCACCAAGACTGTATTTCATACTCAGTGGCAACTTTGCATTGGCTTTACCTTTTCTTCTACTGTTGTACCTGCATCTCTTAAGTTCTGAACACTTCCTAGGTTTCTGGTACATACCTTTTTCCATCCATTAAATCCAAATAATATCCAATACATGCATAACATCTGCAAGAGGGTAACCTAAAAATTTTACTGCTGCCTCTATAACCTGTTCTCCACTCATTTTCTGTATTTATTCATTTAGTTGTTGTTGTTGTTAATTGTCCCATGGATTCTTGCTCCTAAAACATTTTATCAGTTAGGATATCTGGAGACATTCGCTGCATATGCCCACATGGACAAAAACCACAGAGTGAGCTATGAATTAGCAAAAGGTGAAGATGCCCCAGGGGAGCCAGGACTCCAGGAATAAAGTCCCTCAAATGCTTCACTCTGAGCCAAGAAAAACTTTAAAAAGTACCATTTTAAAAACCCACAATGGGGCAGTGAGGAGTGAACAAGAAGTTTTGTAAATTTTATGGGCAATGCAAATAAGAAATTTCATTATATGCATAGCTATAATTTACACCACGGGAGAACACAGTTACTTATTTTGTTTTCTTAGTTCCAGCTGAAGACCAAAAGGGTTTTGTTTTGTGTGTATTCCTTGAAGCTATTATGGTTAATTATGCTACTGCCACAGCCTTGACAACACATAGATCCAGGCTGGGTTAGATGATCTCAAAGGCAGTTCTCAGAGCTCCCTGTTGCCTATGTTGCTGTATGACCAAGGACTTAACAAGGTTCACTCTCCACAATGCTGCAAAAATTCCATATTTTTAGATGGTGAAGTTTTACTTGGAAAAAGCACAGTTAACCAATTTGTTATTTATTTAATTTTGCTTCCTTACCGACATACATAATCATTCCAGTGACTTGTAAGATGTCAGCTTTCTTTTCCTTAGCCTTCCATTATGTAGGGTTATTCATATACTCCCGACCACTAAAATGCTTCAGGATTTGAAGGAAT